TAGGAACTTATAAAATATTTGAAAAACAAATAAATGTTTTATGACAGTACTATCTAATAGATTGTGTGTAATGATGAAACTGTTCTATATCTGCGGTGTACAATACAATAGGCACTAGACACATGTGGCTATTGAGTACTTTAAATTGAGAAACTGAGGAACTAAATTTTTAATGTTGTTTAAATTTAATTAATTTACATTTAAGTTTAAAAAGCCATATGTGACCAGTAACTACAGTATTGAGCAACATAGTGTTGGAAAGTTCTTCCCAGCAGGGTCCCAACAGGAAGCAGATGGAACACTCAGATTAGGATAATTTCAGGGAGTTCATTTGTAAAGAGACCTTTTCCAAATGTGTGGGCAGCTTTAAGGAAACCACAAGAGGGTGCAATTAACTGTGGTCAGTTGTGTACGAACAATGAATGGTAAGGCAGAATTGATGAAGAGACTCAGTTAAGATTATACAGTTTTAATAAGCCTGGATCACATTGGGAAGTATTTATAATATTCAATAATAATTTTAATGAAATTTCATTGAACGGAGTGCATGCTCAAAATTGTTTTTTTCAATAAAGTATTTTCTGGTAGTCTTATTGATGAAGAATCTGACTGCCTACCCTGTACAGTGCTGATTTGTGCCATGTTTTCCCAGGGTCTTTCTCCCTGACACTCCACTGTAACTGGTCCCTTTTCCATTAGCAGGGCTGTGCTGAATTAATGACGATGTCTCTTAAGGATTCCTTTAAAGAGCATCCTCTCTTTTGAGCACTTGGGATATAGGCAGGTCTGACTGTTATCCGTGGTTGTGTTTTAATGTCCTGCTTTTTCCATTCCTTACCTTAGCACACAGAATTCACCTTTAGTCCTGGCTCATTGCTTGATGATTTGTTAAGGCTTTGAAAACAGAAGGAATGAGGCCCTTTAAGTAGGATGGGGCTATATCTCCTTGCCTTATTTATTTTTATGCCATGCAAAAAGAATAAAGAGGCATAAAATGGCTTGACTAAAGTGAAATAAATCTGGATAAATAGAGCAAGGATCCAATAAAAATCTGGAGGTGAAAAAGAAGAAAGGTGGCTGTGGTTAGAGGTGGGGCATGGAGGGAGAGAAAAGGAGGAAGGGAGAACTTTATATTTCCTATGATGATAGAGACTGTTTATTATTACCAAGAGAACAAAACATCTTTGACCCAATGAGACATTTTAAACTAAGGTTAAGCTCTGGGTAGAAATTAGGAAATCATCTTTATAACCCTTCTTGAATCTCTTTGTGCTGTCACCTCCTGTCATCCTTTATTAAAGTTTCATATGCTTCTGCTGCTAGCTCTGAGAAGGCCGACATCTTTTAGTTGTTCTGATGAATCACACTACAGAAGCTAGTGAGTTTTTACAGCCAACACAACAGGAGTCTCCCATATTATTCCTTACACCGTGTGTGTGTGTGTGTGTGTGTGTGTGTGTGTGTGTGTGTGTGTGTATGTGTGGGGGGTATCTTTGTCTGTCTCACTCCTGCCCCTTTTATACTGTCTCCGCTTTCACGAAGTGGAAAGAGATACATCCAAAAGCTAAGACTGCATGAAACTAGAGAGTAAGAGCTAGGTTCTTTAGGTAAAATTAGAAACTGTCTTATAGCCTATTATGTATCTGTTTATGCCATTGCCTTATATATCTCTGAATTAACTCTCACAATTCTCCATGGCTAAAATGGAGCTGTGACAAGTAGCCACAGCTTTCATCTGGGTAATTGCGACCATTGCTCTGATATCCAGAATTTTATAGTGCTCATTGAAATAACCTAACCTCAATGTCTTCTGTTTACCCTCTTTCTTCACTAAACACAGTTTCCATTACGTACATATTCCACACTCTCTTTCAAAAATAAAATGTGGTAAAGGACCTAATGGTCCCCTGCTGTGTCTTCCTATAGGAAGCAGCTGGAAATATGTGGTGCCAGTATTTGGCTGTCATAGTGCCTGGGAATTGGTATTGGAATTTAGTAGACATGGGTCCATGGATGCCAAACATCTTGCAAGTGTATGGAATGGTCTCAGATGATGATCATTTTTCACACCTTAAATATCAGTAACACAGCTGCTGAAAAAATCTAGATCTAACTGAGGTTTAGGTGGGTACCAGAAACTTCAGCTAATAGAGTACCTTAGCTGTGGATTGAAGCTAAGTGCTAAAATCTCCTCCAGAGTATAGTATGACAACTTCCTGGAATATAGCAGGTCCCTAATAAAACTATGTTGTGTTTTGAACCAAGTTCAGTTATAAACTCAATTCAATAAGACCTATGTAAGTTACTAGCAGAAATAGAAAAAAAATTAAGATATACTTGCCAATATCAAGATGCTAACAGTATTGCAAGGGTAATGAACGTGCACAGAATTAAAATGAGTATATTGGGAAATGTTCAAAATGCTATTGGAACAAGGAGAGGTGAGAGTTTACTTTTCAGCAGAGTTTTGAGGGAAATTCTTTGTGGAAATCTTTGAGGAACAGGTAGGATTTTTTTTTTTTTTTTTTTTTTTTGAGACAGAGTCTTGCTCTGTTGCCCAGGCTAGAGTGCCGTGGCGTCAGCCTAGCTCACAGCAACCTCAAACTCCTGGGCTCAAGCGATCCTTCTGCCTCAGCCTCCCGAGTAGCTGGGACTACAGGCATGCGCCACCATGCCCGGCTAATTTTTTATATATATATATACTTTTAGTTGTCCAGATCATTTCTTTCTATTTTTTTAGTAGAGACCGGGTCTCGCTCTTGCTCAGGCTGGTCTCGAACTCCTGACCTTGAGCGATCCACCCACCTCGGCCTCCCAGAGTGCTAGGATTACAGGCGTGAGCCACCACGCCCGGCCCAGGTAGGATTTTTATAGGAGTTGTTTTGGAAGATGCTCTCTGAAGTCAAAGGTATATGTAAGAAGTTGGAGGAAGAGATAGAAAAGTATAAGAATGTTGCTACCATAAAAGATAGTATTTGAGAAGATATGGCAGTAGATAAGATTAAAAAGGTAAGTTAGGACAGAGTATAGATAGTCTTGAATTTCTTGTTAAGGAGTCTTTCCACTTGAGGCTATGGATTAATGTATGAGTGCCGTCTCTAGGGCTAGAGTCTGACATGCTGCCTAATGGCCTATACTTGGCCTCAGCATCCTTTTTCATTGAGTCCACGCTGTAAACTCCTTCAGTTATCAGCTGCTTACACTTGCCTTCGTGATTTTCAAGGTCTTCTCTTAAGATCCCTTTTCAGTTTATTAATTTAAATAGTGGCAATTTTCCTAGAGGTGAATCACATAATGATTTTTTTCAATCTCTTTTATACAAGATATCACTGAAAAAAGTATGATCAGATTTAATCCAGTTGTCTCCCACAAAATTAATATGTAGAAAATACCAACCAAGGTGACTCTCCGTGTGCTTAATAGCCTAAGATTTAGGTTAAGGATATAACACAGAGAACTGTTCTGCTCAAAGAATAAAAAGGTGTTTCACAAATTATCTTAAAGAGCCAAAAACAGCGTCCAGTTCTTACTTAAAACAATTTGTTCTTGGAATATTGTCAGCTAAAATCGTGGTCAACTTTTGCAAATTGTATGAATTTGCACTGCATATTTTATTTAGTGTTTAGAAAAACTCCAATATGGCTCTGCATAACTTACACAATACACCATGAAAATGACTTCAGAAACTCCCACAGAAGTTGACAAATTGGGCATCTAATGCTTTTAAGTTAATTGCATGCTTAGCGGTTAAAGAGTTGACTTGTTAAGAATGAAGATCACAATTTCATGGAGATAATGCTCTGCCTACTGCCACACTGAATACAACCCAACCTTGTATCATAAATATTACAGAAGCTTAGAAGAAAATAATGTGAGCTTTAATCACCATTCTACTTAGTCTTAAGTGAAATGCTCATGAATCATATATAATATCATAGCAGTTTTGAAATCTATTCTTGAATTTCAAGCTGTTATTTTCAGAAAATTTAGAAAGCAAATTGCTAAGTGATAAAGAGTAATTTGATAGCATTGCTTATGCCATTTTTTTCTTCTTTGCAGACTGGAAGAAAAGAGAGGAGTAATACCCTGAATATTGCTATAGACAACATGTGCAAGAAGACAAGAGACCTTCGCAGACAGGTGAGGGAAGAAAGAGAGATAGAGACAGAAATACACATGCCAAATAGGACTTTTATTCATCGATGGAATATTTATTTCATATTTTTATTTTTTAAAATTAATTTAGAACACACAAAAATATTTACTTTCTACATTTATATACTGCACACTTTTTTTGTGGCAAACATAAAAGTAGAAGAAAGAATGTGTGCTTTAATGTCAGGCAGAATTACTTTCAAATCCTGGCTTTGTCCGCATCAGTTGTGAGGTCTTGGGCACAGATTTCATCTCTCTGAGCTTCTCTGAAACTATAAAATGGAATTAATAATACACAATAGGGCTGTGAGGATTAAATACAATGCATATCAGTGACTGGTCCATAGTAAGTTTTTAGGTAATGTGGTAAATTGATTCTATTACATGAAAAACTGAGTTTATCATCCAAATGCTTACAGTAAATAGCTAGTAAGTGATAACTCGGAGACCCTACAAATCCTCCTTCTGATTCTTTTCAGGATGCTTCAAAAACTAGTTTCGTTTAAGTTAAGGCTACTTTTTAACCTTAGGTCATCATAAACATAGGATTAGAAAGGATTTCATTAAACAATTTAAAAGTCCAGTATTATGCCACAAGTTATTTTTTTTTTCCCAGAAATATGAAGACTTAGCTATTTTCAAAGGCCTTTGCTCTCCATTCCTTTCCACTATTTAATAACCAGAGTTCTTTCTCACATACAACTTTAACTTGGTCATCATTAACTCATAAAAGAGGGGCAAAAAGCTTTTCAACCATAAACTTTTAATGCAATATATTATTGTAGTTTAATGGGAAGATTTAGTAAAATGGCCGAGCAATCTTTTAATTCAAAAGTAGATTTGCAAATGGAACAAATAGGTATCTCCAGCCATTTAATAGTAGCTGCGTAAAAACACAATTTTCAAGTCTGTGAAAATCCCAATTTCTCAATTTATGGCTTTAACGTGAATTCTACTTCTACTGTCAGCACTTAGAATCACAGAATGTAAGAGTTGGAAGGAACTTAGCACACCTGTCTTATGATGCAGATTAGAAAGCAGGCCAGTGTGGTGAGGTGACCTGCCTAAGGAGGAAGGAACACTGGATCAGAACACACCAGGACCCAGAAACTTATGCCCTAAGAGTCAACCTCCCTCTTTGTTGTATGATTTCTATTCTTGATCTTATTCAGGATTTCTACCCCATCCTCTTCACCTAGGACTTGTATCTTTCATTCCTGTCTCCTCCCTCTATATTGCCTTCAACAAAGTTATTATGCAAAGAGAGCTAATCTACATTTATACCTCCAAATTATTATTTTTCTTCAAAAAGTCAAGAAAAAGCAGTTCTTTATGTATGGAATTACCAGATGTATGAAATAGAAGTACAGGGTGCCCAGTTAAATTTGAATTTCAGATTAATAACAAACATGTTTTAGTATAATTATGTCCCAAATATTGCTTGGGACATACTTGTGTTTAAGAAGTTGTTAATCTTAAATTCAAATTTAACCAAGCATCCTATATTTTATCTTGCAATCTGACCCATGTTTCCATCTCACTACCACCAATGAGATATAGAAATGACATTGGGAATTTCTAATATTATTCTTCATAGTAAGGAGATATTTCCAACTTGTAGAGAACTACTGTGTTATGGAGGTATGAAAATCCCATATCGTTTCACAGTTAAAACATCTGCATTATTTCTATTTTCTATCCATGTTTAACAAATCACCATGAATAACAGCAATCTTGGTTTCATCTCATGATTCCATGGATTGGCTGGGGATCAGCAGAGCCATTTCTGTAGTATTTTCACTTGTACTTTCCCACATAGCTGCAGTCACATGGCAACTGTGGCTGGGTTCAGGGCTTGATGTTTGGACCTCAGTGCTTCTTCCTGTTCCCTTTCTCCATGTGGACTCTTCTTTTATAGCCCTTCTATGTGGCTTCTCTCTCTAGCAGGGTAGCCTGGGTTTCTTACATGATGGTTCAAGGTGCCAAGAAAGGAGAGATAGAAGCTGCCAGGCCTTCTTAATGCCTGAGCTCCAAAGTCATGGAATATTGTTTCCTTCACATTGTATAGGTCAAAATAGTCATAAACCCTGCTTTTGATCAACAGGAGCAGGCAGAAGCTCTGTCTCTTGTGGAAGAAGTGGTATGTGTGTACAGGAAGGGGTGGAATTGTTAGCAGCCATCTTTGGACCCAGCCATGATCTTCGGTGTTGGTGAGATTAGGGGCTGTGATTCTTTCTCATTATCTTCATCTTTTCTCCCCCCAGTACTTCATTTTCTCATCCTGATGTTTATGCTTTTGATGATAATAAAAATTAGTTTAAAAAGCAATATGTTATCTCCATTTCTTCTTATTTTTCAAAATTTATCTAATAATTTCTTTTAAACATCCTACATGTACTCTTTCTCACAGGAAAGAGAAATCCCTACCCTTAAAATGTTTTTCTTTGGGATATTTAATGTTCATCTTTTTCTCTAGAACTGGTTTTATTTGTTTGTTTTTAGTGAAAAAAAATAAGCACAGTTCATCATCCTGCCCATTCATCCTTATCCTCTTTCTTAACCATGGCTTTTCCATCAGTAACACAGAAGCATTTTAGCTTTGGTTCAGTAGATGATTGGACTTCTTTCTTGAGGAATAAGATAGATTAGCCTAGAAATATCTGAAGAGAAGCAATTTATAGATTTAGGAGCATCAATTTGGAATGTTCTAGATGGTGACAGAGTATTTATTTGTTCCAACTTTCTTGCTCTGTGATTTTCTTGCCTATTTTTCTAGAGAACAAAGATAGATGTCCTTGGCATGGTGTTCTAGGTTCTCTGTGACTTGGCCATGACTTAATCCCCATTATTCTTAATGTTCCTTCTCCTTCAGCTCTCCTTCTCCATTTCTCCTCCTCACCAAACCAAGACATTAACCTGTTCTCTGACTAAAGAGTCTACTATTCACCAATATTGGTGAATCGCCTCCCTCTCAAACCCTCTTGCATCATTGTATATACGGATTGTTCAGCTTGGTGCCTTCTCCACTTACTCCCCTTACACCCCCCACCCATGCCCTAATCAACTAAATGCAAGATTAGTGTAAATGCTACTTCTTCAATGAAACCTTTGCTATTTTGACTAGCTAGAATTAGTCTTTTTCTTCCAGGAGCATTTATAGCATGTGTACTTCTATTATAGCAGTGATCATATTCTTCTTGGATTTTGTTTCTTTCTTTCTAAATTTTTTTAAAATTTTATTTCAGAATGTTACAGGGGTACAAATGTTTTGGCTACAAAAATTGCTTTTGTACCATTTGAGTCAAAGTTATAAGTGTGCCCATCACCCAGATAGTGTGCATTGTACCCCTTATGTGTGTGAATTTACCCATCCCCTTTTCCCCCTTCCCGCTTGCTTGATTAATGAGTCAGCATACCAAACATCAGCAACTAATTGGTAGAGCCACAGGTCTAGCCTGAATCCATTCAATCCTAGCCCATGTTTGTAACCAAGGACAATGGCCTATTCACTTTCAGAAACCCTGCTGCCTGATTCACTCATTTTACCATCATAAATTCTTTTCTTCCTTATTGCTTGTTTTATAAGCTTTTTTTAAGTTTAAATTTTCTTCTTCTTCCTTTAGCCTCCTTTCCCATCATTCATTTGAGAATTGCATACCTAATGGCACTCTCTCAATAAAAGGAGGGAGAGTTTTAAATATCTTTATTAAAAAATCTAAACAATCAAATATATTTCATTTGTATTATGCAGAGTGAAACTTACATTTGATTTCACTAAAGGCAGGTTATAATTTTTATTTGTGTATATTAAGAAAACAATTTTCTTTTATTTCATAAGTGCCAAAATAAGAATGAGGTATGTCAAATAAAAAAAGGATTCTGGTAAAAATAAAACAAATAAACAATTTAATTGATCCTTTAGAAGCTGAGTTGCTGAATTGCTAGATCCACCTCTTCTCTATGTTGGTAGTACCAGCGCAACACTCAAACAAAATATATGTTGGCTCTTATACGCCCTAATCATCGTTCTCATCATCAAATATCAAGTATCTGCAAGACACAAGTTTCGCTAAGTTGAAATAATAGGTATACACTGAATTAATTATGTTAACTTATTCCTACCAGTCAACTAAGCTTTGAAAATCATATTTTGCTATTTGACTTAAAATTAAAATGGTTCTATTATACACAAATATGCTTTTCTAGTTCTTTGAGGATGATTCTTTTCTAAAAACGCTTTCTCCTCTTTTCATTCCTCTTCTCCTCACAATTTCATTCTTTCTATTTCTTTATTTGGTGGTGTGGTAGTGGGGACTTTTTTAGAGTTTTCACATAGGGCTTTCACTTTTGGGTTTCAATTGTAGAGAATTATATTATTTTATTTGAGATCCCAAACCACTTACATCAGTGGGAAATAGAAAAATTGATGTCTCAAGGCCTTTTATTAAACTGTAGTGAGAAAGATGGAAAGCACCTCAGTTTGGTTTTATTCTGACATCTTTCATATCTGGCCACAAACAGATATTTATTGAAAATACATACTTCTAACTCCTATTGGACTCCCAGTAACTTCAGATTTTAGTGCTTTGGCTTCTATTTTCACATTGGCAGGTTGAATTCTTCCTTAAACTTTTTTGTATATCATGAAAATAAAAGGAATGCATTATGCCATGGGGTAGGAAAATAATATGGAAATAAATAAGAAAGAAGCTACTTAAGTAGTATACACAAGTATACATATCTGTACTATCTATTGAAAAATATTTATATGAATATGTCAGAACATGTAAAGAAAATTGCTTAGCACAACATTCTAGTCCTTCCACATCTTGTCCCTATCTGCATTTCTAATCCTATCTAATAATAATTGCTCTTTCACATTCAGCATAATTCAGGGCATGACAGAACCAAACCCAGTGTGGTGTACAGAGCAGAAGTAGCAGAGTATAATCAATAATGAGTAGTTTATGAGTTTGGAGTCTGAGTCTTAATGACTAAACATTAACACCAGATAAAGGTGCCTGTTTTAGATGCATTTTCCTGAAAGCAGAGCCTGAGACTGGGGCCTTAGTGCAGGTAGTTTATTTGGGAGAGGATTCCCAGAAACAAGTGTGAGAGAACACAAAATGTGAGACAGGAAAAGAGGACATGATATGCTGTTGAAGTTGCTGCTATAGGTAATAGGAGCTTGAGGACCTCTGGGAACCAGCAGAATGTCTCCCAGAATTATCTGACCGATGGATAGAGGCTGGGAATTTTATTCAGTAGCTCGCATTCCTATTGGTCAAAGGTTGTTCCCAGTGGTGGGGACTCTCCAGAACTTCCAGGCTGTGTTTGTGTTTAGGCTGAGAACCTCACAGAGGCTTGGAACAGCCCCTGAGACAGAATAACAAAAATAGCATGGAATGCACGTAAGAGACATAGGATGTCTTCAGAGGACACAGAATTGTTCCCCACAACAACAGCTGAAATTTGAGATAGGTCTAGAGGATGAGATGCTGACTACCAAAAGCCTATAACATGGCCCATTATCATAGTTCTGACTGTAAAGATAAAGGATCAGGAATTGGCAAATCAGACAGGGACTAGTGAGGAAATTGTAGGTCAATTGATGTAATTATGCTGTTTGTTATTTACATGGGTTAAGATGCTTTCAGTGAGAAAGATACCTCCCTGCCTCTGACTATGTGCTATCTCTTAAAGGTTTCCTTCAGTCTAACACAAGTCACTAATTTCTGGCCATTTTCTTCTGACATGAGACAAAAAGATTACAAAGATTGGCACAATGTGAGACAGTTTTTCTCATCTCTCATTCTTGCTTGGGTGATAAATCAATATATATGTTTTGAAAAGCACAAGAAGGCAATCTGACTTTTTCGATATAGTGAAAGATGGGAACTTATATCAAAGTCTTTTATGTGAAAAACCATCCTTCTTTAAACATGTGTCTCAAGGCAGTGAATAGCAAGTCTCGCTTCTTCCTGTCACAATAAATGACTAGAAACAGGAGTTCATACTCATTATCTTCACCTCCTTGTCTCCCATTCACTTTTCAAACCATAGCAATAGGACTCTTACTGCCACTTTTCTGCTAGAACTGTTCTTACTACGTTCATCAATAAATTATTAGTAGTCAACACAATGGACAAGTCACGAGTCTTTTTTTTTTTAACTTTTCTTTAAAATTTGACTGTGAAGCCTATCTCTTCTTGAAATATATATATTTTTGTTGTCGTCTCCTGGTTTTCCTATATTGTAATATCTAATGACTCTCGATTCTCGACTAGATTATAAGGGACCATGCATTTTTATCTGGACATATCTTACAATGCTTTGCTCTTGGTGGAAAAGTGAGGAAATGGTGTTAAGAAATATTTGTCAAATTGAATGAAATCAAAAACAGAAGAGAAGATTCAACAAGTTCATGATGTGTCTATTATAATTATGTTTGGTAGGATAACTACATTTGGAGAGCATTGACACAGAGATCTATTTGAAAGTTTGTTTACTTGTTGGTCATTTGTTCTCTTTGTTTTTTGGCCATTATCTCAGTCTCTTCTTAGGTCCTACTCTTTCATCTACAGGACTCCCACAAATGGTAATGTTTCCTAAGATTTTATTTTTGGGTCTCCTCACTGTGTGTCTTCCTCTGTATGGTCCTATCCACCTCCCTCAGTTTGATTTTCTTCTCATGTGCTGGCTCTTAATAGTATCTCTCTAGTGCAGGTCTCCTCTCAGCTCTTCTTCTGCATATCCCAGTTACAAATGAAAGAAGAAAAAATATAGAAGACAGGGGTGGCCATTGAAAAGTGTTCATCCTCTGAGAGAGTCCTTCAACTTTTCTCCTGTGTATCTGAAACTTACACAACCTGTAGTTCCCAGCTCAAATCCTAACTTGTGAACTCTTGCCTGACTTTCCCTAGTCCATTTCCTATAGACAGCAAACAAATTATTCATTCACTTAATGGTCTTCCCTAATTCACTTAAGGTCTTTCCCAATTCACTTAAGGTCTTTCCCTTGCCTTGTAACCACTTTAGCATTCTACACTCTGTCCTAATAAGTGCTCAGTAAATATTAATTAATTGCCATTAATGATTTGCTTTTCTACATGCTAAGCAGAATCCTTCCTTGGGGATTTTTCTATAGCCTTTGTGAAATTGTTAGTAGCCAAAAAATTTCATAGCTCTTCTGAGCAAGCTCTCCTATCTAGTGCAGAGGTATTGTTCTCCTAGAAACCTATAATTATTATGGATTTATAATTCTATGATTATTACAGGAAGACAGTACTTTTTTAAAGCAGCTGTATCATTCAGACCCATGAAAATGTATTACTACTCATTCGCACATAATCTAAAACTAAGCTAAGTGTCTATTGGATTAAAAATACCCTAAAATTTTCACAGAAGGCAGATTGCATTTTCCTGTCTGATAGCTATTTATCTTTTTGTTTTATTGTATAAAGGTTATTAAACTAAATGAGGGGGTCGACCCAAAATCCTTGAGCCCATTCATAGTCATTGACATTATTAATGAAACATTTCAGGATATTGTGATCCATGAAGTCTCAATATTATATAAATACGTTGAATTAATTTTCCAATTTAATTTTAAATCTCAGAAAATATCTGAATAGAGTAATTGCCTGATTGTCATTTATAACCTTACATGTAATCTAATTTAAAAGAACTAATTGTAGCAGAATGTTATAGTTGTTTAATAATTTAAGGTGTGAGGGCAAGAACAATTAATGCAAACAGGGAAAATTGGACATCAAGCTCATTTATTATTCTTCTTGCTCTATTAATCTGTTACCAACTCGCATAATCGGTGATCTAACTTGGTTTAATTACCATGAAGTCTACAATTTAGCTAATCAAAATTTATCATCAGTTCCTTTAACAAGGTAGAAAACATTTTATAATTTCTAATTATAAAAATACAAGATGTACAATGTTATTTGTACACATGCATAACCATTCTAGTAGTGCAATTTATTTGAGAAAAAAAGAATATTAGCATTTTAATGTGACTTCTGGGTTAAGTAAAATTTTTAAGAAAAAATAGTTACTTTTGAGAACAAGGGAACTATTTCTGGATGATTTTTTTCCCAGATATTTTATTTGTTTTAGTTTCTTAAGGTACATTAAAATATAGTCTTAAATAAAATGATTTTAGAGATCATGCAAAAAATGTATTAAATGAATTTTGTAACCACTGAGATTGTAAGAATAGGAAATAATATGGACTATTTCCTGAGTAATAAAAGCCCTGAATTTTTTATTTCTTCTCAGCTCCGCAAGGCTATTATAGATCATGTGTCAGACTCTTTCTTGGATACGACAGTCCCACTTTTGGTTCTCATTGAAGCCGCTAAGAATGGCCGGGAAAAGGAAATAAAAGAATATGCTGCAATATTTCATGAACACACCAGCAGGCTAGTAGAGGTAAGCATTCTAGAACTGTAACTACTTTAAATTTGTGAGAATGAAGCTCCCATTCCCCATTTAGGGTTGAACTGTACTCAAATAAGAACTTTTGATAACATTATTACCAATGTAGCAGAGTTGAGTCAAGGTAATATGAAAGCATATATGTCAAATAGTATATAAACCAACCCACACTGGCTTGCAAAAGAGGCAATTTACTTAGAAAGAGCTATAAAACTATGCACAGTATTGGGTTGTTAAAAAATACATATTTTATCAGAGCTACACAAAAGAACTGGCTAAATGCTGATACTTTGTTTTATCTTTATAAATATTTTCTTCCCATTCTAACTTAAAAGTATCAAATACTTGATTTTATGCTATTTTATTGTTTTTCTACCATCTTCTCATGGCTATATTACTCCTCCAGTCTTTCAAATCATATTCAACTATGTAACATGACTATAGAATAAGAATGCCTAAAAGTAGAGAGATCCATGAATAATTAAGTAGGGGTAATGGATTGGCTCATGTCCCAGTGGGGGCAAAGGGAGAGGTTAAAGCAATAATTCACTCTGTTTGGAGACTGATGACATGGAATGCCCCATGATTTGGGGAGCAGGGTGTTATATTGCTGAATCTCCATAAAGTACTAGGAGATTCCCAGGAGAGAGAGAGAAGGCAACCTTTTGTATTATGGACATCAATAACACAGCTTCAGTATAAGAAAGAACCCGAATGAAAGGATTTCTACCACACATGAGATGACTGTACTCACAAGGCTGGGAACCAGTGGCAAGAAGGGGGAAATGTGATTGCCCACATCCATGGACGTGAACTGATATTCAGCTGGCACTCATTAGTATGGCTACACCAGTTGTTTATGGCTGCTGTCTGTCCTGATTGTCAGTGCCCACACCATCCTGGTTAGTAAATTTTTTGACTACCACACCTTCTTCTACCAGCCATGAATTCTGTGGTGAAATATGCTTTTGTGGCCCAAATGCTTGTAAAACTTGTGAGTGAAAAATAATCACCTTGTGAATTAGAATCACAGAATTTGATATAACATCTACTGAAAAAGAGCTTTCCTAACATCTTTAATGTGGATCCCCCAGGAAGGAGGTTTCCAGTGTAGCTAGCATATGCACTATAAACTCTCCTTCTGGATCCTAATCTCCACAACTAGAAAGTGAAAAGAGTGGAGGAATACATGATTACTAAGATTATTTTAGCCCTAAAACTGCCCCATCTTCAAGTTTGAAATCTCCTTTGAAGTTCCCAAGAACTCTGTGAGATAGGGCAAGTATTACAATCCCAATTAAATTTATGTGAAAATAAAGGTACAAAACCCAAACCAGGCCAATTAGAGTCAAAGCTGATTTCCAGGATTACCATTTTCAATTAATTAATCCAATTATTTGTTCTGTATCTAGTTTTATTTATTTCTTCATGTACCCATTTCTCAAATATTTATTAACTCTACCCACAAGACAATGTTAAAAGTAAGGGGGCAGAGCAATGGGAACAGATTGTAAAAGTCAAATAACTAAGCATAGTCCCTGAGAGTCATAAAAGTTTTATGAAAAATGGGTTCTGTAAGGTGAAGGCACACCAAATTACGGAAGCAACTTTTTAATCAAATTCTCTGAAAATAAAAGTTGGTTTCTGCTAATTAAATTACATCCTCATTTCTATTTCTCAGTTTAGTGTTTCTATGAAGAAGGGCGCTTTGGACAAAAAAATTTAGGAAAAAAGTCCTATTTTGGCTCTGCTTGGAGATTTTACATTCTTGAAAAATCCTGAAGTACAGCATCTTTAATTTAATTTAAGCTAGAGTTTTTCCAATTCAGTTTACCTTTCTTTCATTACATGTTACTAAGGCGCTACCCTCAAGGAACACTTGGGAATGTTACCTTAATATATGACCAAATGATGGTTTACTATTATGTAGAGAAAGCTCTAAGAATTTGCCTTCAGTATTTAAGGATTTTGAAAATTCTGCATTCCATGTGAATGTTGAAAGAATAAAGGCTTTTAGAATTTTGAACTACTGGGAGACTGAGAATGGGTCTTCTTCAACTTTGTATATTCCCTTTATAATGACATTATGAAAGGTTTGGAGTGATATCTGAGTTCTGGTTCTCACTTCGTATTACTTAGAAGCTTTGGTCTAAGTATCTGGTTCCCAATCCCTGGTCCACAGACCGGTACCAGTCCGTGGCATGTTAGGGACCAGGCGACAGAGCTCTGCTTCTCCCTGGTCCCTTACCCCCAACACTACCACCACTAGCTGTGGAAAAATTGTCTTCCATGAAACCGGTCCCTGGTGCCCCAAAAGGTTGGGAACTGATGATCTAAGTCACTTTCAGTTACAATGGACTTTTACTACGTAAAATGCATCCTCATACTTAGTGGCTTAAGACAATTACTTGTTGACTCTCACTAATCTATGAGATGACTAAGCAGAGCTGGGCAATTTTTGCTTAAGGTTTCTCATGTGGTTGTTGTCAAATGTTGGCTGAAGATATGGCTGGCTGGATGTTTGCCTAAAATGAACACACTACTTGGCACATTCATGTGACCAGAAGTGCATGCTACCTGTCAGCTGGGGGCTTAGCTATGGTTGTTGACTGGAGCACCAATACCTGATCTCTCCATGTAGCTTGAGCTCCTGACAGCATAGCTGTTGGGTTCAGACAGGAGAAGTCTCAAAAGAAAGCAAGAAACAGGAAGGAGAAGCTGCCATTCTCTTAAGGCTTGAGCCCAGAAATAGCCCAAAATGCTATTGGTCAAAGCAATTATAGAGCCTTTCCAGATACAAGGAGAGGGGAGCAGTGAGATTCCACTTCTTAATGGAAGGAACAGCAAAGTATTTGTGGTCACTATACTTCTCAGGGCTTTAGCTATAATATGAAGTTTAGACAAGATCACTCCTAGTTTCTTAAATTCTATGATCCAACAGATATTTTTTCAACTGAGAGACATCTAGCTTCCAAAGAGATATAGAAACAGGAGAAAATCAAAATAGTTTTTAAGTATACTGCTTGCATATTAGGTTTTTTCTTTCCTCTCTCTATATATATAAAGAGAGAGAGAGAAGAAGAAAAAGGAAAAGAGTGCTGAGTACTACATTTATCTTTCAGGAAATCTTTTTTTTTTTTTTTTGAAAGGAGCTGTCTAACCAAAGCAACAGAGAAAAATGATCATTAATTTACTACAGACATTGAGATAGAAGGGTCTGTGACAGAGTCCTGGGAAATAAGATAACTTAAATATATCAGTTTCAGAGGACAATATGAATTCTCCTTGTAACCTTGTATGGATTGTTTACCAATCCCCCACTTCCCCACCTCCCTACTATTCCCCTCCACAGACATGCACAGATACCCATCTTATTCCCAAGCTGGGTAATTTGACATAGCAGGGTAGAAAGTCTTAGATTCTAAATGACTTCAAGAAAAAGCTATTTTCAACATGTCTGGGTTTTGATACCTCAACCGTGTTTGTCTGAGAAATCTAAAATCAGTGAACTTGTTGAAGGCTTAAATGGGGAAAAAAGTCCATTTTTAAAGAGTTCCTATCAGATCTTTGAAGAAAAACTCCACGCTGTTAAGGGAACTTTTTAAATAATGGTTAACTTGTAACTTTACAAAAAGATAGTAAAAAGTGGAATGAAACATGAAATAAAAAGAATGAGGTGTTAATTCTGTGAGTAATAATTAGAAAACACAAAGGATTTGGGGAATTGGAGAAAAGAAATGAGAATGAGGAGCAGAGAGGCCGATAAATTGGATCTGAAATGCCTCTACTCTGGTCGAGTCACAACTGAGGTTTCCTGCTATATTATTATGTAGTTGGTATAAAATGATCATGGGTGAAATGATGGTTGTAAAACCCTGGGTAGTGCTAGTAACTAGGGAACCTTTGTGGCTAATTTTATCCCTGTTATGCTGAACTGAGTAACTATTATGCAAAGCTTTTCTTACTTTGAGCATCCAGGTTACTGTGTGGTTTTGGATCCACAGAGCCACAGTGGGGAATGAAAGTAGAGTCCAGGGGTTGGCATTGTAAAAGTCATCTTAATATAGTGATTAGTAATTAATGACAAATGTGCTCATTGAATTATGCTTCCCAGTACTTTGATCTCACCCCAGTGGTGACTTAGGACCCCATTAACTCTACTGGCTTCCACCAATAGTATCTATTAAGCAGGAAGTTAAAAATATGAATTCTATCTTAAAAATAAAAATATTCAGTAATTCTAGAGAGTAAGGATTTTGTCTTTTATTGCTTTGCATCTCCTCTGATAGCAAAGACTATATGGCTAGTGCTCAATAAATCCATATTGAATGAAGGAAAACATTTATAACGCCAACTCAATTCTCTTTCTCTCTAAAAAGTTGACTTTGGGGATTCTAGTAATTGGACTTGAGGTACATGTCTGAGCCCAGTTATTAAGCAGAGTACCTCCCTACTATACTGCATATGGGTATTTTGAAATAGTTCTTCACAGTGGTATTAGTAAATGCCATTGCTTTTAATTATCAAAAGCAGGCATTATACACCCTGCTTCAGCTCTGTCTCAGAAGGAGTTTGTGACAATTCAATAACATCTTTAAAGCACTTTGCTACCTCAGAGATATATTTTGTCACTTTAGTGTGGTAATATAACTATTATTCAGAAGAATGGCATTACATTCAATAAATGCATTATTTATTACTACAATGACTATTATGATAATGGCTATATTTAATATTCCTCTAAAATTAATTTTTAAAATTTTACTCTTATTTTTGAATCATATTACAATTCGTTCTTACAAAGTCACTTCATGCTGAATACTACAATTGCTACCAACTAAAACAGTGAAATCTCCATTTTACTCCATGAATTTTACCATGTTTAATTATAATTAAATATGAAAGTGTTAATGATTTAGATCTGAAAATTTTCTATGAATTAGAGACATTTTTTTATGTGAAAAGCCAGCTTCATTAGTGCTTTGACTTACTCATCAAAAATTCATCTATC